CCATTTGTCTATCTTTGCTCCTATTAGGTGAGCTTTTATATCAAAAATCATTGTTCCAATCAACTTCAAAAATAATTGCAGTCTTTTCTTCCAGTAGTGTTTTTTTTTTGTTTCGTACCGGGGATCAAACTCAGGTCCTTGTGCTTGCCAGGCAGGCAGTGGAATCACTGAGCTAAATCCCCAGCCCCTCTTCTAGTAGTTTTAGGTCTCTTATGTTAAACCCCACTCTAATTGCATCTGGAATGTTCTCCATAGCTATGGACGTTAAATGTTGGCCTCCAGCCCATGGCATTACTGGGGGTAGTGGTACCTCTCAGAGGTGGGACCAAATGAGAAGTCTTAGATTATTTGAAGTGTGCTGTCAAAGGGGGCTCTGGGACCCATGCTTTTCTTCTCTATTTCATTTCCTTGTCATGAAACGATTAGACGTTGTTCTCCACCATGGAGTCCTACTATGATATACTGTGCTGCCACATATTTTACTTTTCATCCTGGAAAATGGATCTGTGGGGACTGGCCCGGAGGTTACAGTGGCACCAAAGTTCATTAGGCAATTCTAGATGGGGTCCATGCCACATACACTTTATTTTTCTTTCATGTGCAAGTGTCCAACTCAGATCTACATGACTGAGATAACATGCTTAAATGGAGAAAAGGTTTATTTTATATCATAGTTTTGGAGGTCTCAGTATATGGTTGGTTGTTCTCATGGCTTCTGGGCCTGCATCAAAACAGTATATAATGGCTGGAATGCATAGTAGAGTCAGCTACTCACTTTACAACTATCTAGAAGTGAAGAGAGAGAAAGAGAGAGGATACTGGGGTCCCACAGTCCTGTTCAAAGGTGCCTCTCTTAAAGGTTTCTCCTTCCTACAGCACCACCCTGCACAACAAACCTTTATTACATGAACCTTCAGGACAACCGCAGATCCAAACTAGAGTAGGGAAAGATTTCCTTCTGCATTGTACTGCAGGGCTCAGAGGAAGGGTGACATGGACAGTAGGAAATCATCCTTCTGTCCTTCTCTATTCTCATTTCTGTTGTGCATAGGTGAAGTCATCTCACATCAAGATTCCTTTACTCAACATGAAGTTACTTTCATGCATGGATGGTCTTTCAAATTGATGCTTCCCTGAGAAGATGTGTGCTGAAAATTTCCATGCTGTCATTTTGCTGACTTCACTTTTGCTACTTTCTTTCTTAAAAATTTTAAAATGCCAATACAATGCAATGATTTTAAATTCATGTATACTTCATTATGAATTTACTTGCTGACAACAATATCTAGACATTTAGTCTTTGTATATATGCCTTTCAGGAATACAAATTGTGGTCAAAATATTTGGTAAATGTTTAAATTTTTAAATTATTATGGTAAAAAATACATTGTCATTAATTCCCCTCAAAATAGTCCCCCTCACTTTGAACACACTTAGCCCATCATTCTTGCCACTTCCCGAAGCAGTTCTGGAAGTCCTCTCTCCTGAGTGTCTTTATGAAGTAATTAAAAATATGGTGAATATTCCTGCTGAGTACCATCCAACGGGAATGTATGCTCATATAAAGATCACAATCCATTCTCATCTACCTTATTCCCTGAATCTGGGAGCTCTTCCCCAAAGTTGAAATAACATCAAAGGTTAACCTTTTTAATTGATTCAGGACATTGAGGTAGCCAGGAAAGCAAAACTGAAGATATGAAAGAGGACTTCTAGAACTGGTCAACCAAGTGGCAAGAATGATGTGATAAATTTGTTTGAAGTGAGACCGAGTATTCTGAAGAAGATTAATGGCGATGTGTCTTTCACTGTCATAAATTAAAAAAAAAAAAATTTATATATTCACCATATTTTTCAATCATAACTTATATATACACACAACAGTCTGATTAACCTAAAATTAGTATGTCAGTAGACTGGCACCAGTCCATTGCTAATAGAAAGATTCTATAGGAGAGACCTGTTCAAATTAAGTCCATAGTATTATAAGATTGCCCTATTAGTACATGCAGCTGACTTCTTAACACACGTACCTTGTCTTTTCTTCACAAATATATGAATAAACACATGAAAATGAAAATAAATGTTGGCTATCAACTTTAGGATAGTCTTTTCCTTACAGATAGAGTTAAATAACCCCAGCTGTGGAATTTGGAGAGCTTGATGGATGATGAACCAGACGTCTCAGTACTCTCCTTTCCAATTTCATCAGCATCTTTTATAAGCCATCTGTAGCATTGCAGTGATACCACAATTAACACAGCCTTTGGAACAAAGCTCCTTTACCATCAAGCTGGCATCTCTGACAATAGCTTGTAAACGTGCAAGGCATCCTGCCAAGTTCATTCAGCTCAGTGACAAGTTTCCAATTGGGCTGCACATGTGCCCATGGTGAACCCTGCTGTGCATCGCCACCCAGGGCACAGGCAGTCAGTCAATGGGACTGATCTCAGGGGGTCTGAAGTGTTGACTAGTTCATTCTCTCCCATTGACTTTCTAAAAAATTGGGACTTTTCTTTTTTTTTACATTTAACAACTATGTCTCCTTCTAAGCAAGTGTTTGATGTTCTTCTCTTCTTTAGCGTCTCTTTTTTTTTTGTACCGGGGATCGAACTCGGGTCCTTGTGCTTGCAAGGCAGGCAGTGGAACCACTGAGCTAAATCCCTGGCCCCAAGCTTCTCTTCTTTATTCTACTCCACCAAAATAAAAAGTTCCTATGGATAGCTATTTCTATTTGTGGCTTGCCTGACTGACCTCCACTAATTCTGAGGGAATACACACTTATATGCTGGGTAGTACGGGTTATAAAATGGCACTTGCCAATAGTGCTAAGGATGAATAGCAAATATTTTAGACAGAGCACTAGAAAGAGTTTTGCATGATCTATGTTCTGAAGGCACCATTGCTGCACCACCAACTCTTGAGCACTTAGTCTTTTTTGGTGAACTTCATTTAATGTCTACATTTACAAAAGCAGAGGATTGATAATGTCTAAGCATCTCTCCAGACCTGACTTTCCTGAATTCAAAATACATAACTGAAAATCTGAGAGAATTACCCATCTAGCTCTGAGAGCTGGGAGACTTGAAAATGACAGTGCTGGTGAATCTCATTTATGAGCTGAGTCACAGAAGAAACACAAATTTCTTTGATAATATATCTCCTGTGATATAATATAAATTATCTCTGGGATTCTTAGTAATCCTTTGAGGGGGATACAGAGAATTGCAAAACCAAGTAGTGTGACATCACTGATTTATTCTCGAAATCTAGAAGATTCCCAGAATCCCAGGAGTTTGAAGGCTCACGACTTGATTCACCATTTTTTCCCTCTGAACTTATGAAAGCAGGTATCAAAACTTAGCCCCCGTCAGCCTTTGTCCTTGGGGTTCTATAACTCTGTTGTTCATTTACTTCGGGGACAGACTGAGAAAAAAATTGTAGCTTTAAAGCTACTGCAAATCACATGAAGAAATGAACACATTTTCAGTACCATAAGTTGTGAAACTCACCTTCTTCCCACTCTACTGCTCTTGCCCTTGTATCAGCCTGAGGCATTTGAAAGGTGGGAGGAAGAAATCAATATACATAATTTCACATTACAGAAATTACCCTGCTCATCAAGCATTTTGCCTGTAACCCTTTGATAAGAATCTACCAGGGACTGTCTTGAGCTTCAAATTTTGCTACCCTGGAGTCAAGGGACTTAAAAGGTAGAAAGATTCATATTTGTTCATGCTAAAAGTTCATCTCCCTCCTTTATAGTCCTTCTGCCTTTATAGAATACTGTTATCTAAAACACAAATATTTCAGCAAATCTTCTTGAAGATGCAGACTCTCCTACACCCCTTGAGTGATATCCTACTTCTGAATGAACTTTCTCTTTAATAGAAAATTCACTGCCTCATGAGGTAACATAATCCATTTACACATAGCATTAACCACAAATTCTTCTCTCTACCTCAGAGTAACATGATTCCTTGAAATTCCTACTCAATCAAATTTTTAATTCTATCTTTTGGGACCATAGGTTAGGTAGCCATTAAAATATTTGAGGGCAGGAGAAACAGTCTCTACAGTGAAGTTTTTAAAATTTTTCTCCGAAAGAAGGAACTTGAGTCACAAAACTGGCTTAGAGAGGAAGTGATAATTAAGGAGATATGAAATGAATTCTTGGTAGTCACAATATTATTATTATGGTTAGTGCAGAAGAAGTGAAGATTAGGTAGAGAAAAAAGTAAAATTTTCAATTCTTCCTATCTTAAATGAGTTACTGAATCAGTCTGATTTATCAAAAATAATAAGAAAAAAGAGCACTTTTGGCGGGAGAAAAACACAATTGCATATTTTCCTTATTTTATTCCTATCTCCCTTGACTGTCCTTGTTGCTAATTATATAAAATAAAAAATTTTGTTACAAGCTTACTGATGATTAGAAAAAGGGAGAGATAAACTGGTACAGTTAATAAACACAAGTTCAGATGCACATTCCGGATGCCAAAGATCATTTCCCAGATAGCAAAAAGTTCACATTTAGTACTTCCAAAGCAACAATGGAACAAATGAACTATTCCACATTTCAACACTCATGGACATCCTGGAAGGACAGTGCATGTGATGTGATCAACAGAGCACAAGATAAAGATAAGGCTTCAATTTATTTAAACCAGAATGGTCTGCCTACTTTAAAAAATAGTATAAATAAAGGCAGCATTTATAGGAAGATGTTTCCAAACAAGAAAGTGGCATTCAGAACAAACCAAGGTTACATTCCTAGCTGCCATGACATTCAAAAATGCAAATATCATAGAAGACTTCAGGAAAAATTTGGATATTTTGGTGAGGCAACAGAACCATGTCTTTAACAGAAGAAATGAAAGCTTTTCAGGATGTTCTATTTGGATCAGAAAGAGCTTGTGGAGAAATGAGAATAACTCTCATAGCAAAGAGGAATTAAAAGTGCAAAGTATGAAAATATTAGAAGGAAAATCAAGACTCACTTTCTGAGTGGTGAGAAGTAATCTATCAATCCAACTGAAGTCAGGTCCATTGATGGGGATTCTTCAGGAGCAGTTCAGTAAGATCATTAACATTCCAGGTCCTTAGGTCATTGAAATGTAAAAACTGGTCTCAGTACAAGATAAGACCTTGAGATTTGGATTTGTTCTCATTTTAAGAAAAGCATCATTGGGGCGGAGATTTAGCTGAGTAATGCCATTTCCTGCCTTGCAAGCACAAGGTCCCGAGTTCGATCTCTGGTACCAAAAAACAAAAAACAAAAGAAAGAAAAGCATCACTGAAGTGGGAGAAAGAATTCCAACTTGAACTTTCTCCTAAGCAATTTTGTAACTTTAAGCAAATTATTTTCCTTTTACAAAAGAGAAAGAATCCAAGAGATGGAGGAAAGAAGAGGCAACAGAAGGAATGAAAAAATAATTATGACGTGTTATGTACATGTACCAATTCTCATGATAAATGTAAGCATTATGTACTGCAAATATGTAGAAAGAAAAAGAAGGCAGCAGAGTTTAGTTCAAACTAAAAATCTTACTCAGAACTGTAAATAATTAAAACAAGTTGTCTTCAAAAATATATAGCCGAGATGAATGTATTGGGATGGAGTCTGTCTCTTCCCCAAGACTTTTCAAGGCAGTCTCTGAAGAGCACCTCCCGTTCCTCACTCAGTCCAGGCAGCAAGCCTTGTATGCCATGTCTGTGATGATCCAAAGAGTTCTGCTCCATGTTACACAGAGTTTCCAACTGATAGAGTTCTCTACCAGACAAAATGGAACCAACGGTCCTACATTCTAAAATGGCTCCCGTTCCTAAAATGGTTACCACTTACGGAGAGGAGCCAAGGGGGGGGGGGGGGGGGGGGGGGG